CCTCCTCTCTCTCTCTCTCTCTCTCTCTCTCTCTCTCTCCGTCCACGTTGCATCGACCACCCTCCACACACGCGGAGGAAACACATACGCGCGCGCGCGTGGATGGACGTTTCTTCCTTTTTCTTCCCTCTTCGAGCTTCCTTCGGTGGAGGGGAGGGGGTGGCGAAGGGACGGCCAGGTTTTCGCCGGAAACCGTAGGCGTAAAAAAAGTGGGGGGCGGGAGGGAGAGGGGAAAGGAGGGGAGGGAGGAGTCGATCTCTGCCAAATCAAACTTAAGCCTCCCTTATCTCCCCATCTTTCGTTCGATGCCGGACATTGGGAATATGGTTCGCCCGGTATTCGAGGTATCGATCGTAGGTGACTACTGGCCGACTACTACTACCCACCACCTTCTTTCGATTTCCACTCTTTCTCGCATCTCTCCCGTGCTCTTCAACCCGAATTTTGAAATATTTTCTATTCCATTGCTACTTTTTTTTTTTTTTTTATTAGTAACGATAGTTTATCGGATTATCGAGTGGTGCGTTTAAGGTAATATCGAAACTGTTTTCATTGGTGTTACATTCGTTAAAATTATAGTATTTAAATATATATATATACATGTGCGAATAATTATCACTGGATAAAGGCAAACGTTGGAATTTGAATTTGGGTTAATTTCTTTTCGTCGTCGATACTTTGTACAATGAAAATGGTGCCAATGAAAATATTTTCACCGCATACATCGTGTATTATACATCTCGTTTGGTAAAAACTGCATCGTCATTGCACATAGTTGAAATGAAAGAGGATTGTTGTACGGCCGAAGGTAGATGGCAGCCAATGATCAGGAAATAAAGCAAGATAATGAGCAAGAAATTATAATCAAGTAATTATTGGCGAAATTTGTGATGCAATTTCAACTTCGATCGAAGGGTACAATGGGATAGTGGGAAACAAATACGTTTCTCTTTTAACAATTTCAATCGATGTATAATCGATATTAAGCCGATATTGCTTTTTTTTTTTTGCTCGAGATTAAAATATAGAGGAATTAAAAAACAGCGAATATGCTCGGAAAAAAGGGAGAGAGAAAGGAATGGGATATGAAAGTTTTATCGAAAACCGCATGCTTCTAGAGTAAACACACACACACATATATATATATATCTTTACCTTAATTAAAATGTAGGATAATAAACAAAATGTCGAGCAAATAAAACTGAATATGGGAATTAAAACTGTGCAAATGATGATCCAACGTGCGTTCTTAATTTATCCATCCACGGTTTTCGAAATTATTTTATATATATATGTACATATAATCGAATGGAAACGGACGCGAAGATGTTTAATTCCATGAAAAATTGCATGGAAGCAAGTTTCGAGATTCGATGATAAAAATATTGTTCACTCTATTCTCCTTTCTTTTTTCTTTTTTTTTTTTTACACTCGATCTCTTTAACGAGCGTACGAAATCATTATTATTATTATTTGGCGAAATCTTTTTCGAAACGAACGACAAGAAACATATTTCAGAAATCAATTTCACACATTCGATCCTCACACACAATCGAAGCTACCAATCATGTTAATGCAACGCGAATCGAGCGCGACTGCGGCAAAGATCAATTTAATCATTTCAATCATACGAATTTGATTGACGTAATAATACGTAATAACGGCAGCGAAATAAATTATATTAATCGAAATTAAATAACGAAAATTACCACCGATCTTAATTCATCTCCGATGGAAAAAGTACACGACGACTCGAAACGACTTTTCTTTCCTATTATTAAAAGAAAAATTCTATCCATCTTTCAACGATTTTCCAAACGCGAAATCGATGGAGCAGCTACTTCGTTCGCTTTTTAAACAACTTTATCCATTCGAATTACGCGTTGGCGGAAAAGATTGGCCGAAGAGGGAGGGGTTCATTGTCTTAGCCCGCTTCCATATAATAAGGCCGCTATCTGTCCATTAATCTGGACACAGTGTTCGGGCACGGTCCCCCAGGATACACAACCCCCCCTTTCTTTCCCCCGCCCGGCTATTATCGAGGCGAAAGAGGGAGAGGAATAAGCCTAGCACCGGACACCCGTTGCCAATTCTCCATTGTCCTTGGCAATCGGCCATTCTACCCTTTCACCTCGCAGCAACCCTCGTTAGACCGGATATCTTGTCCCCTTCTCCAACTATCTGGAGGAACCGTGAACCTGAAATTTCCTCGACACGAGTGGAATCACGATTTTTAATTCAGCGTCGAAATGAAATATTATTTTCGAAACTGTCAACGAATGGAGAAAAATATTGGAGTGTATATATCTCGTATTATTTCGAGGTTTTTCGAAAGGGCACAAGATTCTAGATTTTATTATCACGCAAGATACGTTTCGATTAAACTCGAAATTCACCACCGACGCGTTAATCAACACACATCTTTCCTTTATTATTACGTATATCCTGATTTGTTTATTTATCCGTTTTATTATCCGTTTATACGAGTATTATTCGTGCATATAAACGTGAATATATAAACTCACCGATCGGAAGGAGCAGTGATACGGTCGGGTCCATTCCCAAAGCCGAAACTCGTCGAAACGCAATCAATTCAACGCATTCTCGGAACATTCCTGTAACAAGAATTATGATTTTTCTTTCTTTTTTTTTTTCTTCGTTGGTTGGTCGAGGAGAAGGTGATATACCAAGGGTTTGGGATTGTATTTCTTGTCCATGTCACAGACCGGATGGAAACAGGTTTTCGGACGATTAATTGGGATTGATGCATCGATGTTTGAGGGGTAAATGTGTGCGTGTATATATATACACGTCCATTACCTCCCTCGACGATCGCATAAATTTATCCTGAGAAGTTTCAAATGTCATTCACCTTTGGTTCGAAGTCGGTTCGATTCGATTCAAATTTTCCAAAATAGAAGGATCAACATTTACGAACAATTGTAAAAGATAATTATATATAAGATAAATGTAATTTGAATCAACGATAAATTTGATAAACCGAAAGAATCTCGATATTTCTCAAATTTTTACCCCTTGTTCTACTATCGTTTTATTTTATCGCCACGTATACAGTGAGAGGAGGGTAATCATTTTAACTTAATTTCATCGGTACAACTGCACGGATGTTCTCAAACCACAAAGGGTAGCACGTGTACATAATTATCCCTAATATAAACTCATTAACATGTAACCAAAAGCGGGGCAACGTGAATGGCAGGTTAATATCTCGTTCAAAATATGCCATGTAATCTCACGCGCGTATACGCGTTTCACACTTTTACGGTTCCTCCTCGCAACACCGCAATTTCCAAAACCGCTGTAATTAACGGCAGACGGATTCGAATGCCAGGAGGAGGAGGCATCGATCGCATCGTTTCCTTCAATAATACGCTAATTTCCGATCTTCATCGCAAACAAGCCCCGAGGAGATTTCCACGAAACTTTGGTGGAAAGCAAACATGCTTCATCAGTTTGCAATAATAGTTTGTCCAAGGAGGAAAAATATGTTTCTTGCGTTAACCTTCTATCTATGCATATGTATATTCGAATAATTTAATTATTTTCCATTGAAAAAAACTTTTTCTCTCGATATATAAATTATTTAATTCGCATCTAGAATTTTGCAGAAACCGCCAAAGTACTCCATCCTTGGTTTACTTTGCTTCGATACGACGAAATAATAGTCTGAAGAAAATGTTTAAAATATTTTTGAAAAAAAAGAAAGAAGGAGAGTTTTTCAAACATCGTGGCCATTTTGCGTGCTCGTTTCGACGGATTTTTACGGAAGCGTTAACAGCTCGGCCAGGCGAATTAGCAATGCTGCATCTGTTCACCATTAATCAATTAGCGCGATTCCGGTATTCGCGCGATGTAACGATAGAGCGTATCCCCGATGGCGTAAAATTTCGGTTAAATGGCGCTTGTTGGTGCGCGTGTGTTAAACGATCACGTCGAAAACCGCGGCGAGAGTAAAGTTTAATAACGCGGGTGGAAAACGGCACCGGTCGGCCATGGCGGTGGCCGCGTGAAATTATTTCTCTTTACGGTGTGTATCGCGGTCGATCATGGTGAAGGATAACGTACAATGTTTTCGGGAATTTGGTTGGAATATTGCACGTGAAATGCCGGTTAACGGTTCGCCAACAGACGCGTTTCGCATGGAACGTATTTGTCGAAGGATTCGTTTCGAAAGAAAGGGAGAAAAACGAAATTTGAACGATCTTGGATGGGACGAAGGGGTATAGGAGAATCGTTGGTGATCCAGTGCTTCGAAAAAGTAAGATTTCCAAGTTCTGATGAGACAAGTCCCTGATTTAGGGGCCTAGATTCAAGGATCTAGGTTCATGATTTAGAGTTGATGGTGAATAGGAATGAATAGAGTTTAAAATTTGGATTAAAGATTTGAAATCCATAGTCTAGAAATTACAATTCCAAAATTTGGAGTTTATGATCTAGGAATCAGTCTAGGAATTGGGATTCCAAGGTTTCAAGGTCCAAGAATGTAGAACAGGGTCTAAGATACAGAATTTGAAATTTCAGAGATCCAAGATTCAAAATTCTAATATCTATAGATGCCTAAGAGTTTGACTCATAGAGTCCAAAAATCGAGATGTTTAATTTAATATTTAAATTTGATGATTCGAAATCAAGGTTTGAATTGAAAATCATAAGTGAAGTAATTTCAGGAAGTGGAAGAAACGTATTTTTCCGATTCTCATATCCCGAGAAACGTGTTTATAAAGCCAGGTATAAAGTGGAAGAAAGGAAATTTCTATTCGGGGATCATTTTGATCCGACGTTTGGAATTGAAACGTATATTAGGCTGAACGTGGATACACGTATAAACCGGTCGATAAGCGATAAGATTGATGGTGGCGCGGTTAAGATATTCATTTATTTCTGAAGAGTGACACGCTATTTTTCAGTACGCTCTTCGACGAGCGTAATACATTTATCTTAATATTTCATGCTGTCCGAAATAGCGTGTGTGTATCTCTGTATGTATGGGACGAGTGTAACTGCTGCCAGTAATGTTGGCAATAAAAAGAATTATAGGACGCGTATATTTCTTTCTTCTTCTTCCGTCAACCTATTCACGGATAAATCTAGCGGATACAGTTGTATAATTGTATAAGTATCGATCACACGTGATATTTTTGCGACTATAGGGATGGATATCCGTTTTTCAACTTTTAAAACTTTTCTTTCTTATTCAATCAGAATGGAATATTCAAATGCACGTTTCACTTCATCCTTGACAATTATTAAATTTCTTTATTAAATTTGGAAATCAAAGCGTTTAAATATTCAGACGTCTGGCACTTGTCATTGTGCAAACAAGGTGCAGCAAGATCAAGATAAATATACTTCGACCCTTTCATTGTTTCTCATTGAAGGAAGTGGAAATAAATACTCTTAGGTATATAATCAAAGAAACAAATCTATTCAAATGGTCAGAAGCAATTATCAAAGTTTACGAAATACTCTTCGTTTTTTTTTTTTTTTTTACTATCAAAGGAAATTAAAGGCAAACATTGGGAAAACATGGAGTTATAAATATTAATTTTTCATTAAATGGAAGCCCAACGAGAGCCCCTCAACGAAACAATTTCACAGTCAAAAATATTACCTTCCTATCTTTCGTCCATCTCCTGTAACACCAAATAATTAAACCAAAGAATAAAAATAATCTTAAAATTAATTTTTGCTTTATCAAACTTTTTTCCACAAACATCACAACAAACACCACTCTCTATGTCTCCCATCGTTGTCTCAAATAAAATAAAATTAACAAAATAAAAATAACCACCACTTACGATCCCAAACTTCTACTTCAACAAACATCAATATCATCCCCTGAGAACAAATAAAAATAATTTATATAAACGATTATATATCAAATTGAATACACTATCCTCTCTCTTTCTCCACCATTTATAAATTAAATCACAAATTTTAATCTTACTCTATCAAAATCCTTCCAAAACAAACACCAGCCTTTCATCCCATTCAACCGAAAAACTCAATTCCTTTCTCAATTTCTTTCTCCTTTTTGCGAAGAAGCATCGAATTTCGCGATACAAGTTTCTGAAAAGAAGACGCGCAGTGTGCGTGCGTCGGATGATGTGAACGACGAGAGCAACGACGTCCGCGTCACGGTTCGCAGGGGTTGGAAAAGGGACAAGGATGACCGAGTTCGAGCGGGCAGAAAGGCAAGGGAGATAGTTCGGTGGGGATGCTGGATACTGTTGGAGACCGGAACCGCGGTCATTTTTCACCGCGCGGACGTCCGTTTCCGGTGCACGATCACGGCGAAATACAAACAAAAATGGCGCAGGAAATACGTAGCAGGAGGAGGCCGAGATATCTTGCTCCTTTTTTAAATTTTTTTCCTTATTTTCGCCGCGAAAAATGAGATAAATTTTTGCGAATACAAAAATACTATTAATTCCTTGCATTATTTTCGTATTGTATTGTCAGAAAGGGAGGAGAGTACGTAAAATTTGGAAAGAGAAATTTGTAGAAGGCATTCTGTGAATATTTTGATATTTTTGTAAATATATATTCGATCCGTTTGTTTCAACGAGTGGAAATCGAAATTATCTCGAGTATTTCGAAGGGAGTGAGAATGATCGATGGATCATCGGGATTATAATATACTTTCCCTTATTGCGCAGCGCGAAACGCATAGTTGCAAGTTTTTTTAAACGCAATAACAACGACACGGCCTGTCAATAACCGTTCCCCATCCCGGACAATTTCATCGGGAGCGAGTTCTCGTTACGTACTCTACTCGATACTCGAGCGGAGTCCGTGTTTCCTGCTGGCTTTGCAATTTACGTTTCCACGTAGCCGTGAATACAAATTGGTTTGATCGATACACGGATAGCTAGCCGTGTGGTGGATCGAGTTTTTAAGAGCTCGTTGTTTTCTTTTTCTCTTTCTTTCTTACTAAAACTTTCTTATAAAAGAAAATACGATTGAAAAAAGACGATGGGGATGCCACTGTTTCTTTCTATCTTCTATCGATAAAAATTAAACATACGTTAGAACAGAGATTAGAAAGATAACACTAAACGTTCCCCCCATTGTCCAAATAATTATCCAAATTAATTAACCGAAGACTCGATAACGATCTCACGAATCCTCCCATCCCCTCGAATCAAACACATTCCAAACAATTTGTCCCCGCCTCGAATCGCGCCAAGTCCCATCCAACCCACCGATCCCTCCTCCTCCACAAACTCTCCATAACCATTAAACCACGCTCTCCTCCTCGTGGGAACAGAGACGCGTCTCAAAACAAACTTGGAAGAGAGAGAGAGAGAGAGAAAGAGAAAAATTGCACGCGGGGCAGGAAACGAGAGCAGTTAGGAAAACCGACACAGAGAAAGCACGAGAGGAAGATGGACAGGAAAAAAAGGAAAAAAATTATTAAAGGTCCCGATGATGACACCGGTCGTTGTAACCGTGCATCAGGGATCAACCGTTTTCCACATCGCATGAATGCATTATTCGCCTGAAACCCGACCCCCAACCATCGCGGTGAGTAACCATAGACAACGCGTGAACGGATTTGCGTTCGATTTTCATCGCGGGAAAAAAGCTTTTT